CGTAACACAGTAGTTGACCGGGCATGGGTTGGACGGTGAATTGCGGGACTTGGTGGGTTCTCTCGCCAGTTCTAGTGCTCAGAAATTCAACACTATAGAGCAGTTAATGGAAAAGGCCTCGGGTAAGTTCCTGACTCTTGAAGCTGGCCAGAGGAACACACAGGCTGTCTTGCAGGATATCCAAACCCAGCTGGGGAGTGTGGCTCAAGCAGTGGCACAAAGGGCTCCTGGTACTCTACCCGGTCAGACCATCCCTCATCCTCAGACCCCGAATGAGCACTGCAATGCCATCATAACCAGGAGTGGCAAGATGACTGTTGATCCACCTGCTCGGGCACAAGAGAGAGAGGCCCCTGCCTCGGCATCTCCAGTGACTGAAGAAGAAGCAGAGAAGGAGGTTGAGGTGCCTGCACCTAAACCGCAACCAGTAGTGAAGGAGTATATCCCTCAACTCCCCTTCCCTACTCGGTTTCATAAAGACAGGCTAGATGCAGAGTTCGGGAATTTCATGGCCATGCTTAGGAAGCTGAATGTCCAAGTGCCCTTCCTGGAGGCACTATCTCAAATGCCTAAGTATGCGAAGTTCCTGAAGGATCTTCTCTCAAAGAAGCAGAAGCTGAGCGAGCTGGCCACTATAGAGCTCAGCGAGGAGTGCTCGGCCATTCTACAGAACAAGCTTCCGCAGAAGCAGAAGGACCCAGGTAGTTTTACTATCCCGTGCTCTATAGATAATTTGCATATAGAGAGGTCCTTGGCGGATTTAGGTGCTAGTATCAATGTTATGCCATATAAACTGTTCAAGAAACTAGGCCTAGGTGAACCCCGTGCTACTAGGATGAGCCTTCAATTAGCTGACCGATCTGTAGTGCATCCCAGGGGCATAGTGGAAGACCTTCTGGTTAAGGTTGGCAAATTCAATTATCCTGTGGATTTTGTTGTCTTGGACATCAATGAGGACACAGAAGTACCCCTTATACTGGGAAGGCCTTTCCTGGCCACCGCCAAGGCTCTCATAGATGTGCATGATGGGACCTTAGTTCTGAGGGATGGCGAGGAGAGAATAACGTTTTCAATTGCTAATACTCTTCCTGCTTCGTCACCTCTGCATGCTGTATCTCACCAGGAGCACGAGTCTGTCGTGTATCCTTCTGTGTTTCCTATTTTGCAGGATCCGCCTCCCATACCTTCGCCGCCACTCCCGTCCACTCCGTCCCCGAAAGAACAGATAAAGGAGGAGTGGCTGCCGAAGATGCAAGCAGCTAAGCCTGCTCGAAAGAAAGCCGGAGACCACTACGAGCTGGTCCCGCCCCCACCTTGGCCATCCGAGTATTCACTCGCTTGCATCCTGCCGGATGGCCAAGTTAAGTTGGAAAATGCTGGTGGCCACATTCGTCGTGTGCATGGCCAACATTTGAAGCTGTAACTCAAGAGCGAGGTGGATCCGCTCTTGAAGGCACCTGCTCCTTCACCTCACTAAGCATCCACCGACTGGCGTCCAGCTAAAAGACGGTAAAGAAGCGCTTGTGGGGAGGCAACCCCACCTAGGTTTACATTTTCTTACCTTTTTCCTTTTGATTTTTTGTGTTTTTTGAGTCTTGAGGGGTTGTTCACGAGTTGTATGTCGTTCTGGAGTGAAAACAGGTCAATTTCTGAGTTCTGGCAGCTCACACGGCCGTGTGAGCTCTCGTAGAATTCCACACGGCCATATGTGATTGTGACACGGCCGTGTGGAAATTCCCCCAGGCCGTGTGAGCTCTCGCAAATTTTGACACGGCCAAATGTGCAATTGACACGGCCGAGTGACAATCCTCGGCCAGCCCTTGTCGGCCAACACGGCCAAATGTGCAATCGACACGGCCGAGTGAAAATCCTCGGCCAGACCGTGTCGGCCAACACGGGCAAATGTGCAGGTCACACGGCCTATAAATTCGGCCGACACTGTCGAGTGGTCAGAAAACCCAATTTCACTCGCCGGAAACCTCTCCCCCTCGCCGGAAAACCGCGACTTTTCACCCTCCTTGTCGATTTTCGGTCATTTTTGGTCGGTTTTTCACAAATCCAACACCACACCCATCCTTTCCTCCCCATTATCGGCCTATCCCTCGATTTTGAGGTGATTTGGCTTGATTTTGAGTCGCCGGAGGCGATTTCCGGCGAGGCTTCGACGAGCACTTCCGGGCAATTTTTCGGCCTTTCGTTGCTTCCATTGCATTCCCCTCATCATCCCCTACACCTCTACTTGAGTCTCCAGGTTTGATTTTGACCTAGACTATGTTTTTTATGGAGAATTGGGTGTTAGGGTGCATGTTTAGAGAACCTCTTTGAATCGTGAGAATTTTGTGCAATTGATTGAGGGGAATGCTTGGATTATGTATGAATTGTGTTGGGCATTGTCCCCCTTGCTTGTTTGAGCCCTTGTGTGCAAGAATTTTGTCAATTCCATGTTTATCTTAATAGTGCACACAAGGTGTTCGATGAAATGCCTGTTTTTGTACCATTTTGTGGGAGTCGGTTGGGACCCTTAATGATGTGCTTTGAGGGTGTGTTTGGTATGGATGTGAACCTTGAGTTGCCTACTTGTTCATGGATGTGCACCCCTACTCAGATTATGCTTGATTTATCGAGTTTTTGACCCCCGAAATATGGATGAAACCATGGTTAGGTTGTTTTCTGTTCTTAAGTGTGGGGGTGTGATTAACATTTTCCTTGGCTCTTTTGGTTCCACTTTGGGTTGTTCTTTTGCAGGACCAGGTCGAAGCCCAACCTCCGGCACCAGTTTGTTCAAGACTTGAGAAGGGGGCCCCACCAGGAGCGGTTTAAGAACGTCCTGGCCTGCAAGTTTGGGCAGCATCATTGTTGGTCCAAGCGAGAGTTGGAGAAGCTGATCTGCTACGAGCATCTCTCCCCCGTTGTCACCAACTGCTACTGGCGCCGCCTACTCAGGATTCGCAAGAAGGTGTACCACGAGCTCGTGCTCGAGTTCTACACTACTTTCGAGCACGCAGACACGGAGGACTGTGAAGCCGTCAAGTTCCGGCTCTGCGGTGAACCACGATCCCTGAGCTACCACGAGCTGGCGAACGCTCTCGGCCTCAACCTGGTCGATGACAGAGACTACATCACCGAGAGCACCGAGCCAGCGGGGGTGGACTTCGGGACACTGTACTTCAGCCACGCTCGGCCCGGTCAGCTTCCCTTCAAGGCGGGGAAGACGAAGGACAGCACATTGCAGCTCCAATGTAGTCAAAATCTCGATTTTAATCTTAAAATATTACGATTTTACGATCTTACCTATGGGTTCCGATCCTGATTTTACTGTATTATCTTTGAAACTTAAAATCCCATAAAATCCCGATTTAAAACTCTAAAATCCATAAAATCTACGATTTTGTACGATTTCAAGGTTCATATCAATTGGATCAAAATTAGGCCGGTCAAGTTGGGTTATGCCCATGAACCGAGTCAAATTTACTTTCCCCAACCCAACACAATGAACAACACAACCCCAACCTGATAGTTAACCCTCAATTTATTTTCATTCTCTTCCTCGTATCTTCCTCTTTCGCACGTCGGCGTCCAACTCCTTCCATCAACGATATCTTCCACCCTCCCAATTAGCTTGTAGTTTGTTCCCACCCCCCTCACAATAATCCAAATCTCCATTATATTGCAAGCTTTTATTCATCTCCCAATCCTTCAGCACCACTAACCCGACCTTTTATCAATTAAGAAGGGAATGCATCAATCAATGAGTTATCTTTTCCAGATGATGGTAATCAAGGAAATATGGTTAATGGTGAAAGTACTTCAAGTGATCATAAGAGTAATGATATTAGTCCTTAAACAAATAAAAACGATGAGAGTGAGGGTGAGGTTGAGGATGATGACGATGATGTGTAAGTGATGTTAATGTTGATCCTAACGATCTTATGTGATTTTCTACTCTTAACAATTAATTAACAGTGATATCTATAATGTTTCACGTTTCTTATTTGTGTGTTTATATTATGTACCATAAAAATATATGGATTAGTTGTGTTTGTTTAGCAAACGAACTTATCTTGGGAAGTAATTATGCTTTATGTGGTTGATTGTTATTCAAGATATGCATTTTTATTACTATCTAGTGTTTTAAGTATTTATTTTAATATGAACTTTAAAATCTTACGATTTTAAGATTTTAATCTACGATTTCGATTCTACCTCAGTTTTCGATTTTACTTAAAATCTAGATTTTGACTGCATTATGCAGCTCGACAACCGCATCCTTCATCACATGCTGGCCAAGTCTTACACTCCAGCCTCGGACAGTGCCAGCGCCATCACCAAGAGGGCCATGTACCTTATCCAGTCGATGTGCCGGAGGGATCATCCCCTCCACTTGGGCTCGGTGGTGGCGAGGACCTTCGAGAAGAGTGCTTCTGAGCTGAAGAAACTCCACTGCACTCCCCTCATCACCCGCCTGGCCGACTACTTCCAGATACCCCTGCAGGGGTGCACAGAGCAGGGAGACACCACTCCTTTTGGCCGGTTTACGATCAATAAGATGCACTTGTTTCGAGAACAGCGTGGTGTTATGTGGATCGAGGGGTTTCCTCAACCTCAGATGCCAGAGGCGGTCCAGCCGGAGGCTCCCGAGGGTGCGGCTGATGAGGAGGTCAAGCCGGAAGATGTGGACGATACTGCTGCCGCCCGCCCCACCACCTTCGAGTACGGGGGTGGCAGTTCCAGCTTCCCCGGCCAGGACTACTTCACTCAGCAGTTCGAGCAGCTGCGTCTCCAGAACCATGTTCAGCAGTATTAGCCCATTAGTGGGCCTGGAACGTGCGAGCCCATTAGTTTTCTCCTGCGGTATCAGCGCCAACCCTAGTTTAACTAGCTTTAGTTACCCTAGTTTAACCTACACGAGTTAACATCATCATTACTACATATCTTCCCAAATCTTCTAACTCTTGACATTCCAGACTCAACCGTCTCCATCACACGTCTCCACACTCAACCCCCACGATCAATTTTTCTTACACCTACAATCTCTCTTTACTCCATCTTCACCTTCCCTTGTTCCTTCTTCCTCTGACTCCATCAGCAGCAGTATTCGGCACACCATGCCGAGTACCAGTCCCGGATGGCCGCGTATGATGAGCGCCTGGACAGGATGGAGACCCAGCAGGGGATAGCCTTGGCGCGCATCGAGAGGGAGCAGGCCCGAGCTAGGCGCATGTAGGAGGTCCAGGGGCATCTGCTCCAGCTGCTACCGGGCGAGCAACCAGTCTGGAGGACTCCCTGGGAGGACTCTCCACTTCCACCTCCACCAGCTGATGACGATGATGCATTCATGAATGACATCGATCTGGACAACCTTGGCGACGAGTAGGCTGTACTTGTCGCCCCTCAGTGTGTGTTTTTTTTTGTTTTAGACTTTTTCCGTTTGCTCCATGTGTTTGAGGAGCTTGAACTGAGTTTGTCGTATGTTTTGTTTCTTTTCTTTTGAGGATTGTTTCTTTTGTGGCCATCTGGGCCAACTCTGATCCCTAACGAACATGTGCTAGTGTGTTCTTGATGTTCCCTTAGTGCATAACTGTCCGTTCGTTCCATGTGTCCCACGCTAATTGGTCCACTTCCAGTCCCCCGCAGCATTTCAATCCGGTAACATCGTTCCCCTTCTCTATCCCTCTGCTCCATTGAGGGCAATGTCGTGCTTAAGTGTGGGGGGGTGCTTTGTATCGGTTGGAATGTATATACATGTGCTTGGAGCCTAGTCCACTGTCCAAATCTCGAGATTTGAGGGCTCCAAGTACGGCTGTTTGATCATATTGGCATTGTGTTTTGATTGGTGAATTGAATGGTTTTCGGATTAATGCATGACAACTGGATGATGATTAGGACAGCCTATAATGATGACTGAGACGTGCAGTAGAGTTGTGTAGGGTTCAGTTTTTTTTCAACTGTTTGCTTACCAACTGTGACTTGGATTGATTACTTGTTCTTGACAGTCTCTTATGCATCTAGTTCAGGGAATCAGAATGAGAGATAGAGCATATAGGTAGCCATGTGAGATTTGAGCCTGCTCGTTTCTTTCTTGTGCGATAGTTCCCTCTTCCATGATGTGTAGCATTCACGTTGTCATTAGCTAAGATGATGGAGGCATAGGATTAGCCCATGACCAAATTGACTATCCTGGTGTGTCATACCCCCTAGTCAGCCCCTTTGAGCCGTGTGATTATCCTTTCTTTCGGTCTTCAATGAAAAGTCACCCTTTTGCATCTTTCAGAAGGTTCCACAGAGTGATTTTTACATGTTCTCTGCTGTTCTGCTAAATATAATGTGAGACTTGGAGGTAGTTCTTAAAAAGTTGGGCAGGTGTTCGAAAATGTGCAGAGGTGGTGGTTCTCTTAAGAAATGGAAAAAAATGAAAGAAAAACAAAGAAAAAATGAAAGCAAAAGTGAGCCACCACCAAAAATCTGAATAGTGCCCATTAAGTAGTGTTTCTTAGCAGTCTGGCTTAGAAATACTGGTATTTTTGTGACCTCCTTCGCTCTTGTGCTCTGAATTTGAGTAATGCAGAATAGCAGAAAGAAAGTACTGGTTTGATTGACTGTGAGTTTGTTGGGTTTGGAATTGTGGAACCTTGTGCTTTGAATACTTCCACCACCTAAAAGGCCTTTTCCCCATGTCCAAGACCCTAGCCAGTCATTTGAACCTGTGTCTAAGACCTCCTGATTATAGTGATGACAACCATTTATGTGAACTCTAACATTTAGAGGCTGCCGTCATGGTGAAGAGATGTTAGGAATTGAGAGAATAAGTATGCGCATTTTTCGCATCAAATTGTCCTGACCCCACTGGTCGAGAGTGAGCGATTCATTTCCTTGTTCTTTACACTCTTTACCCGGTGAGGACCTAGATGGCTCGGTCTTGATTCTGATGTCTTGAGTTTTATGCATGAGTTGACTATCTTGAGTGAGTGATTGAGTCAAGTCTATGTTGCTTGATGAACAGAAGGGAGACTCCTCCTTTACTCGATTTTGCTGCACTCGAATGTCTTCTGTGGTGGTTGTCCAGGTTGCTATTGAGGTTGTTCAGGTGTTGATGTTTGAAAACCAATATGATGTCACGTGTTCTGTGCCTATATGATTTGTCCCTAATGTTGGCATGATTGAAATATGTGAGCTTACCTTGTGTCTGACTTGGTTTGCTTGGGGACAAGCAAACGGTTAAGTGTGGGGGAGTTTGATAAGCCGTTAATTGCACATGTTTTTACCGCTATTCTGGACTCGTTTGAGGTGTTGATTCTTGTGTTTTAGGCTGATTTCACGCTAGGTTGTGCTTGTTTGTGATATTTCAGGTCCTAGTAAGGGAATGAAGGCTTGGGAGCGAGTTCGGGGTCGATTCGGGCGTGAGGCAAGTCAAAAAGGAAGCCACACAGGCACACCCACAACTCACACGGCCGTGCAAGTGACTTTGGCCGTGTAGGAAGCCTGAAGTGCAATTAATCGGAACGCGGCGTTTTGACCTCACACGGGCAACTGGGTATGCCACACGGCCGTGTGGCCCTGCCCGTGTGAGTCGGGAATTCCTGGTTTTAACCCAATTTCGGGCTGCAAGTGAGAAGAATCAAGTTTTGAGAGCAAAAACAGAGCCCTAGAGAGAGAAAGTACGAAGAACACATCCTAGAAGCTATCTTGGAGCTGGGTTTCATCAAAGCAAGCTTGGAGATCGTCATAGGAGTGGAAATCATCATCCCATAGCAGATTTTCCTCATCTTTATGAGTATGACTACTCTGTATTCTGTTTTCCTCTCTCTCTCTCTATGGAGTAGAACCCTTCTCTCACTTGGGTATGAAGAACCCTAGTTCTATGTGTTAGGGATTTGATTGTAATGACTTGGGATGATATTACTGCTTGGTTTTAATCGAATGATGCATGTTTATTGAGTCAATTGAAGTCTGATCAGCTTTTCCTGATTTCTGCTGCAACCTGAGATAGATAGAATCTGATTAGGTTTTTAGAGCCTCATCATTCGGTAGTAGGAGATTGTCTATACGAGAGTTAGCCAGTTTACTGCTTTGTACTGGAATTCAATTCCAGTAGTGGAGTTATGTTCTTACTGCTTCATCTTTCTATCCCGGTGAAGACTAGTCGTCTGCCGGGTAGTTAGTCTGAGAGGGCTTGGTCAGCTTAAGAGATTCCAAGCTACTGTCGGATCTTCCGCAGTCTAATCACAATAAATCAACCCAGGGAAATTACAATTGAAACCTAACTAAGGAGCTAGGGGGACTCATTCGCGAGTGACTCTTCTTTGCTTGATAAAACCGTACCAATTCCTGCTTTCTTTCTGCTTTTGCTTTAAACAACAAACACTTAACTTAGTTGGCTAGATAATAGATAATCACTGAGTAAACAGTAGATCTAGACCCCGGGTTGATAATATAACTTGCCACTGTACTGCATTCCCGGTCTGCGATTACACTTGGTCGCAGATTGGTGTTGTGTTTTGGCGTGTCACGGACGGCGATAGGTAACGCGGTTGGCATACCAAGACAGAGACACCGGACGACGATACCTAACACGGTGGTCCCTAGTAGTTAAATGTATGACTTAAGGATAGAAGTAGAGAACTTCATAGAAGTAGAGAACTTCTATAAGATATTAAGGATCAAAGTATTTAGGCTGAAAACGAGAACGACTTTCATGTAAAAACTTCTATTAGTTAGTAGGGTTTGCTTAGGCAAAGACCTTAGTAATTAACGACGAGACTGACCCCTTCTCACTCACCAGGTTGAGTAAGGGTTAGCAGATGAGGATTTTGAGAAGGAGCAAGGCGAGGCGAGCAGCCGTACTAGCGTGGACGAGAAGTCAAGGAGCTCGTGAGCAGTTAGAGTAGAATAGTTTAATTACTTTGTTGCATGGTTAGGAGTATAAACTGGAGATTCTGTGCTAAGTTGTTTTAAGTGTTTGAGATTGAGATTTTGCCCAGGTGTTAGGGCTTTTCGTTTAAAATTCTTAAATAATGTCAGTTTGTTTATTTTAAAATGTGGTTTGGGTTGCTCTGGAGTAATCGGTTTTTTTATTTGAGTTATGGTTTGGTTTATGAAAAAGGTCGGGTTGTTTCATTGAGTTGGATCGTAGGAAGATTGAGACGATCAGTAAGCTACCTCCTCCCGTTTCTGTGAAGGGAACCCGCAGCTTTCTGGGTCATGCAGGTTTCTACCGGCGCTTCATTAAAGATTTCTCAAAAATTCCCCTGCCTTTGACCAAGCAGCTGGAGAAGGATGCACCATTTCATTTCACTCTCGAGTGGATAGCTGCGTTCGAGACCTTCAAGGATAAGCTTACCCATGCACCTATCATGGTGACTCCTGATTTGTCTCTTCCCTTTGAGCTGATGTGCGATGCAAGCGACTACGCAGACGGAGCTGTTCCGACCTTACTTGGTGGTCTACACAGATCACTCTGACATCCGCTATCTGATAGCAAGGCTGATGCCAAGCCTAGGCTCATATGCTGGATTCTGCTTCTGCAGGAATCTGACATCGAGATCTGGGATAAGAAGGGAGCCGAAAATGTTGCTGCAGATCATCTTTCACGGTTGGAAACCCCTCCGGTGGACAACTTCGCGGAAGAGATCAATGACTCCTTCCCGGGTGAGCGATAGCTGGCGATGACCTTGGTAGAGAGTGTTTCGCCTTGGTATTCTGACTTTGCCAATTATCTGGTGGGCAAACGGTTGCCTAAGGGGATGGGAACTCATGCCAAGTGCAAGTTCTTCTCCAACTTGAAGCCTAACTTCTGGGAGGATCCTTACCTCTTTAGGATCGGAGCAGATGGCATGATCCGGTGATGCGTCATGGAGCACGAGATGGATGGCATCCTGTCTAATGCCACGAGGGTCCCACAGGCGGTCATCATGATGGGAACCGCACGACGCGGAAGGTGGTGAAGTCGGGCTTCTACTGGCCCTCGCTCTTCAAAGATGCCGATATTTTCACATGACAGTGCGACCGCTGCCAGAGGTCAGGTAACATCTCTTCCCGGGATGAGATGACCCAACATATTTTTGTTATTTGTGAAAATTTTTTAGTTTGGGGCATCGATTTCATGGGCCCATCCCCTTCATCTTTTGGTAATCTATATATCCTAGTAGGAGTCGATTACATCTCACGGTGGGCAGAAGCTCAAGCCATGTCCACCAATGATGCAAGACGTGTCTGGTCATTTCTGAAGCAGTTGTTCTCCCAATTTGGGACGTCTCGAGCCATTATTAGCGATAGAGGAACCCATTTTCAAGGGCGATTCACATAAGGTGTCGGTGGCTTACCATCCCCAAACAAATGGTCAAGCCAAGCTGAGGAACCGAGAGCTTAAGCAAATAATTGAAGAGACGATGGATAAATCTCGGAAGGATTGGTCCACCAAGCTAGATGATGCTCTCTGGGCATATAGGAAAGCCTACAAGACCCCGATTGGTACTTCGCCATATCGGCTTGTCTATGAAAAGGCTTTTCATTTGCCGGTCGAGCTAGAGCACACGGCCTTTTGGGCCCTTAAGCTGCTAAACCTGGATTTGAGTGTTGTAGGTACTGAACATAAGCTGCAGCTGCTAGAGTTGGAGGAATGTTGTTACCACGCCTATGAGAATACCCGGCTCTACGAGGAGCTCACCAAGCGTCTCCACGACGCTCGGTTGTAGGGCCCTAAGGAGTTTCAG